GTTATTTGAATATATCATAGCCCATGAGTTAGCATTAAAAGGAGGCTTCACTTTTGTTCAGGTTGCGATGTGTTTCGCGCCCATAAAAGGTAATACATTTGCTTTTTGTAGGGTGGAGTTGGGAAGAACCCACTGCCAATTATCCGTTGCAAAATCAATACTCACATAAACAATAAACTTTGATTTTTGAAAATAGTACTCTATTTTTAGCACTAAAACGGCTATCTAGCCTACCGGATTCAGTGAAGAGTCGTTAGTGACGGTGGAAGACTAATAATGCACGAGTGGTTGTCTGAAATATGTAAAGGTAATTTTTGGCCACGAGATGATAATAAGTTATGCTTAAGCAAACCCAAAGCTGCTTCTCTATCACTTCCATTTAGTTTAAACGTATAAAAATTACTTCGAGTTAAAATTACCCCTAATTAAATGCACCCCTTTCCACCAAGTCAAGCCACAAGGTAGTTTCTCGAAGATAAAGGCACGAGTTTCCGTGACTTATGCTAGGCAGCAATAGAAGAATTAGTAAGAAGCTAATAAGTTTTGTAAATTTCTTATACAAGATATATCGATAATCTCGAAATCCTACAAATTCCAAATACATGTAATGTTTTCGTCTATAATGGCACAAATATGTTTGCTAGAGGGACAATTCCACTTGCATTGAAAGTCACATTTGCCTTGTGCCCAACTGGCACACGTTTCAGTTTCGCGTAGCGGTAACTTTTCACCACCAGGATTCGAATTACAGTGACGGTCTTGATAAGGCCCAGGCGAAGCTGAAATTCCAGTCTAGCCTGAATGAATGTGAAGTAATTTCAAGTAAAGTTCAAGGGCATCGCAAGCTCTACTCAATTCAGTATGGGAAAACATAATGCCAGTCTTTCATCACCTTAAGCGACCTAGAATTACTAAAGATCTCATTCAAAATCATAAGTAAAGCAAATGCAGCTTTTGCTATCTTAGAGGTGACCTTACCCCACTTTAAACCTCAACGTTTAAGATTTAGGAATGCCGGTTATCTAAATTCATCCTTTCGCTTGAAGATGCAAGTGTAACGGATTCGTAAGTTGATCTCAGCCCGATGCAGGGGGTGTTGCAAGGCGGTGCGCCGAAAACATATTCGCACGAATCTTTAATCTCAGCTCCAAGGTAGCTTCCGAGGAGACCAATTTACGAATTCCTTCAATTCGCCTCTTCAAACGAAATGAAAGCTACTCCAACATCAATCTATTAACAAATTCTTCGAAACCCAGTTTTTATACACACCTTAGGTATCCAGTATTTGTTTATAGGTTCCTTTAATTTACTAAAATGCTGTGCTATTTTTTGCACATGCATCCATAGCTAATAAAGTGGATTAGCTGAAGAGGGGCTGTTTGGTGATAACCAGTTTCTCCACGTGAATTTCCATGTTTGAGTGGCAGATTTAAAATTACTCTAAATCATAGTCCACTCCAGCTTGTAAGCGAATAATTCGGACATCATGCAGAATTGGGATTCGAATACCGGCTAGACATTAAATAGAGATTTTTATACTCTTCAAGCGACTGGTTGGCTTATTAGTTAGGCTCTAATAAGGCGCTTACTTTTTCATAATGTGCATATCTTTGGGCCCTACTTCTTCCACCAACAAGCCAAATATTTGGAGGCATTGCTAACTATCAACAAGTCATGCATGGGAGACTTGAGCAAGGGTAGACGATTAAATATACAAATAAAGTTGTGGCTGGTGACGCTTAATTTTTGCAATTTGGGTACAGAGATATACACCTTTCGGCCTGAACAAAGGGCGATAACATTGAGCTGTTCGCATAATACTGTTTTTAAATAAGTATGCATAAGTTAGCCCCACTCATTATAGATGAGAGTATTCCCTCAGTGGCACATATGTTAATATTGAACCTTGTTTCTCTTACCTTCACATTGCCTAGTGAAATTTCGTCTCGGCATGTAATCATAACAAAACTAGACTTGCCGCCTAAGAGTATATTTGCTATCCCAAAAATCAGGCTTTTCCCTATTCGCATTTGTTATAGCTAAGAAATCCTAGATTTTCTATTAGATTCGTTCACACTACTACATTCCGAGTAAGCGTTATTTGCAAAATGACTTAGAATAAAATACTTGTTAGCAAGCACTCTACTCAAAGCAGCTTTACTTTCGTTGCGTATTCTCAAAAACCAGTTGATTTAAGGAAAGATACTAAGAAAAAGTGGAATCATTTATCTATTTGCCTTTGGAGAATACAGCCAATTGAAGAGGGCCATCTTATACCTAAACTTTTCATGCCGCCCATACAATTAATGTAAGGGAATTCCATTTTGACGATTACAAAATAGTGAATTTAAATTATAAATAACGCAAGAATAAGATGAAGTTTAGTTTATTTTTCAGTGCTCTCCACCTGAAATCCTATCGTCATCGATGTGGCTAAAAAAATAATATCTAAATACGACCAGAAGTAAGCTTATTGGTTGAAAGTTAGACATAATCCCGTAAAAAGTGCTTTATGATGAGGCAGCAAAATAGGTTGTGACTCAAATTACTCCCATACAGAGGATATAGTCAATGATCCTGGATGAAATGTAAACGCCCAAATGGATAAATACCACTTGTATACTCATGCCGCCTGGCGAATAAATGAATTGATTGAAAGAGGTAGGAAAGAGCATACAGATGAATTAATAGACTGATAAGTGGCGGAGCAAGCTATTATGTTGAGGGGTAGATACAGTACTAGAGATTTTAATGGATAGAAGACTACTCTTATGCCAGATGGACAGATCGATAGAAAAATAGCTGGATAGATAAATGAATAAATGAAGCAAGCGTTAGCGATAGACTGAGTTAGACTGGGAATCAGGAGCGGGGCGAAATTTTCTTTCATAAGTTCACCTATTAATTGGGATTCCATTATTTGTAGCAAAACAATATTGATTTGCAATATTGTTTGCCTCCTACTCCATTTGAGCCTACATTTCCGGTCTCATCTACATTCTCTTTAGCCCCATAAATGGTAGTTTCAGAAAACCAATCTGTACTCTGAAGTTGACCAGGAAAAAGTGGCCTCTCGACTGGGATATGTGGAAAAGAATTGACTCACGCCAGCCAAAATCAAAGATTCATAAAGCGTTATGTTTTCTTTTCCAATTAAATGTAGGTTAGTAAACTGTGAATAAGACAGAATAAGACATGAAAACACTTTGACCAGTTATCCTCAGTTTATGTGTAAACTAAAGCAATACTTGAATTTAACCGAGAACTCACTAGCCTTGCTTTCAGTTGTCACGTTTCACGGCACTTATAATTCAATGACTGGCAGGGGCTCCGTCGCGGTATCAGCCAGCTTAGATGAAAGCTATGATTCTGGGGATACCACAATGATGGATATATGTCGAGTGTCCAAATGCTATAAAATGGCGCCTCAGGAAGAGCTCTTATTTATCCACCCTCCAGGCTTTCTAACTTAAACCTGTGTAAAATTCTTTTTGATGTGAATGCTTTTCGAAATTGTCAGAAGTTCTTGAACAAAGACATTGTACCCCTAGTTCGCTTAAGCTGATTTAAGTACTGATGTTGAAATTTTCCTACAAAAATATGAGAACGCCTCACGATGCCTGTGATTTTTACCTAGCCTTGTCTTTCAGAAAGATGTCTCGTTCCGGATAAGCTATAATTTCTACCTCGTTTGAACAGCATCACCATCCCAATGAGCTTGGAAGTTGGGTAGTGAGCCTTGCTGCGCCACGTTACCACTCCGAAATCCAGAAAATGAGCAGGACTTCTATTAGAATAAGAAATAGTTGTCTACTGCATCAAACATCCAACTTTAAAAACGCTATATGGAAAAGGCCTGGCATACCTTGAACTTCACATATGTTCTGTGTTCCGTTGGCACCCTTGGATGCCTAACTGAATGAAAACATGTCGCCATGGTGTACTCTGCCTGGTTCCAAATGCAGTTGGGTAAGCTGATAACACCGAGACATGGTTGAAACGGAAGTCCAACATGGATAATAAAATCCCTTGAGGCCTACACATATAATTGTGGAAAAATTGGGAAACTTCTGCTTACATCACCTTATGCAACACAGTTTGATCAGATTCTTAAAAAATTGGTTCTTTCTGAACTGAATAACCATGTGCAGGGCAAATTTTGGCTAGTTCCATGCAAAAGAAATGGGACGATCTGAAGACAATATAGATCTAAACAATAAAGTTATGAAAACAGGACGAACATGGTATCCACGCATCATCACATTCTCATTGAGCTTGCTTTGGTCTCGACATGGGGACTGACGAATTTGAGACGAGTTGGACTCCGATCAAAATAGGACAATTTAAGGATCTAAATGTGGTGTCAGATTTAGAGTCCAGCATGAGGTGATTTTCACGTGAATCATATGCTTCGATGGTAAATCCTAAAATGTGTGTATTTTCAGGCAACCGGGTTGACCCCAAACCGCCTCTTCTTTGAGTCAGTGCAGAGAGGTATGCTCGGATGATTCATCTTACCATGCTTCCTAGGGCTCGACATCTTAGTAGGCGAAAATGTTTTAGCCAGCCTCTGGGCAGCGTGGCTGCCAGAGCATCCAAGTGGCGACGGATTTTGGTCCGTGAAAAGCATAGATAGGATATTGTGATATCAACAAGGCATGACCTCGAGTTCCGTAGGCCAGCCCGTCCATGCGACCGCATTTTCAGGCCGGCTGTCCATTCACGAATAGAATCGGACTGCCGACGTTTGGGCAACCTTGCTCAGGCACCTCCGGAAGAGACTGGCTTGGCCGGATTAATGTGACCATAACCGAGCATAACCAAGCAGAGACGTGTAGAATGTGAAGTCTGGTAGCAGTCGTATTTGGTGGAGTTGCGTGTACTTTGGCACAGATTGTCACGACGACTAAGGCGTATAATCAGTAGTGAGAGCTAAAATAATGAACTAACTTTATTGGCAACCTGAACAGCCAACAGGGCATATTCGTTTATTCCGCCAACTAAGCTGGCCTGCCAGAATACTACCAGTGTCGGGTTGTTTGTCAGGACTCTGGGCGTACAAATGATGATGGAAGGCGGGAAGAGCATGAGTCTATTGGGACCAGGTGCCTGTCGGAGGTGTATTTCGGGAGTGTTTGGCTGACGTCCGATGCAGGTTGTCGAGATGGCCAGTTTTGCCCAGTAAAGTCAGCATGAATGCGAGGGATGTGGTGACAATGAATGCATGGCCTGCAGAGAAAGGAGCAAGAAGGCTGGTGATGCAAAGCCGAGAATGGCATTGCATGGAGTCGTGTTCACGTGATTGCCATCTAAATCGACTGGTAAGGCAAGGAAAGCTGAGACTCTTTTGTCAGTAGCAGGGCAAGGGTTGCCAAAATCAGACATAGACTAACGATTTATGTCATGCCGACAGGGCGGCAGACGGCTGAGCAACTGAAGCAACATGGATGATGATACGACTTAGGTTCGGGCTTATTGGCATTCATACACGTCTGATGTCCATGCATGACATTGTACTATAAAGGGATTCGACTCGAATCCTCTTTCTCACTTCACATTTCAGTTGGCCACTCCACTTTTCC